AAAGACCCAGCAAATATAAATCAGTGCAGATATGGTTTTAAGACTTTCTATCTAGATTTTAAAATAATTAAACTAAGTGCTTTTCATTAAACTGTGTGGAAACACTTTGTGCCAAACCAACTTAATAATTAATATATATTACTTTACAGAAATCAGTTGCCGCCTCTTAAAAGTTGTTTGTGAGTCCTCCACTTTCTTCACCAAGTATTCATTTAATCATCATCAAACAACCGTTGAAATGCTGAGAAAGTGCAGATCAGAGTTTGAAAAGCATTTGTGGAGCTGATTTTTTGTACATATTTCTCTGTAAACTTAAAAGATATTTGTAACTTGGCCCAAACTCATCTCTATCTTTTATTTGTTTACTTTATATATCAGTTTTTCAATATAATGCTATTAAAGTTTTGACCACAAAAGCTAAGACAAAGATGGTATAAGGAGACCCCATAAAGTACTTGTAACCACCTTTTAGTAACAGATGGTTTTTTTTGAGTGGTAATGATTTTTTTTGTACCAAATTCAATTTGTGCCACGTTTCCTGTAAATTATGCTCTGTTAAGTGTTGTGTGAAAAGTGAAGACTCTTGTAATTTTCAGTGTCACTAGTGTTCAAATTGTTTTGTTGAATAAAAACTGGTAACCAAGGCATAGATAGATGGATAAATACTGGTAGATAGATATACATATATAGATACTTTATTATCTATCTAGCATCAAAACATTTGAACAATGAATGCCTTTTAGTTTGTCTCCTTAATAATGTGACTATGCATCAAAAAGTAAAATTTCTATTTACCTAAATGACTTTTTATATAAAATAATTTGTTTTTGTTCCTGCGAAGACAGGGACATCTAAAGCTAGAGAGTTTGTTGAAGGCTGTTTATAAAAGTTGAGATTCAGTAGAGTAAAATCTTTGCTATACAGAAAGGAAAATTTAATTTCTGCGAAGATTCTGCGTTTTTCTTGCCACTAACCACAGTTCTTGTAGCTCCTGAGTGGCTGGGCGGAGATTATCTCTCACATCTGTTCCTGATCCAGCCTGATGAGGCCTGTTGTGCTTAAATACCTGTGGTTCAGGAAATCTCCAGTGGAACAATTGTAACGTTCTGGTAACTAGTCTTCAGCCCTCTGTGATCCTAAACCAATTAAGAAACTACTAACCTGTACTCCTTGGGTTTTCCTAAGTCCTGAATACTGGTGATGGGCAAATGAAGCTTTTCTGAAGCACCAAAGCTTGTTTCAAAAAAGGGTTCTGTAAGAGTAGTTCTTGCTGCAGCCCCAAGATGGCCGCCGATCACCACCAGCTGTTGGCCATCTGCCTGATGAGTTCCAGCTCTACTTAAGGCTGCAGCCAAGTTCTACTCTCCGCTGGAGCATTGATTCCGTTTTGGTATTTATGCTTCTAGCCAGTGCTTATTCAGAGTCATTGAGATATTCACCTTGTTTCTTCTGCCTACAGTTGACCTGTCGTTTGGTTCCGGTCCTGGTCCGTCTTTTCCTTGGTGCCTTGCCCTCCAGCCACTTGCCTGTCTTGCCCTGCTTGTCTACAGAAACCATCCCTGGAAACCCTTGGATCACAGCTGAGCCTCACTGCCTCCTCCAACCTGTAAGAGGAAACAAACAAACAAATCATTATCACAACAACCCTCCGTACAAGACCCACCTGACCTTTGTCCTTCCTACCCAGGGGTTCCAGGCTACCAAATGTATATATGTATATAAATATCACTGTAAATAAATTCATTTTCTTTTTATCTGAATCTTGCGTCGTTTCCGGGTCTCGTACTATCTGGGTATCCTGAGCTTATGACAGGTTCATTGTTCAAAGCTTTTCAAAACTGTCCCCTTTGGCATTATCTTGTGGCCAAAAGTATAAAGAGCTGCTTGAAATGAATCGCTTCAACGTGGTTGTCCAACTGATGGAGTTGACAGCTTTTATTTATTATCCTGACACATTTCTCTCCGTTATCGGGCTGTCATTGAGGGGCTTTGAAATTTTATTTTGTAGGTGAAAGAACAAAGTTATACTTGTTTAATGAATAAATTATTTTGATGAATAACTAAAACATTTAACATGGCATGATGCCCCTTTGTGACTTCTTGACATTTGTAAACACAGATAACCCCCCCCCCCCCCCCATCTAATTCACAACACAATGCCAGTCTGGAATGGTGTTTGTGCTGCAAGTTCCCTGCCTCCATGACTTTATGAACAAGTTTATGTTTACTGTGAGATCAGATTGAAATTTACGTACATATAGTGTTTTTCTCGTTTTTGTCCCCTTGGGATAAAAGTGCTTATGAACTGATAAAACACATAAAACACAAGTCTGGCTGGCTCCATGTCTCGTTATGTCGCTTGCTGGTTTGTTATATTTTTTGCCAATTGCACCATTAGAACACACCACTAATCCAGTTAATGATTTATTTCATAAAGCTTTGAATCAGGTACCAAAGCAGTGACGTAACTTCAGCACTTTCAAAGCTTCGGACACCACTGATCACATGACTTTCTCAATTGAATCAAGCTCTGACACAAAGCTTCAGAAACACTGTTGTTTTTGATACATGCCCCGGAGCTTCAGCTTCAAATGGACCATCAGTACTGAATACTACCTGTGGAAGTCCTGTTTCGTCAAGTCCCTTCTAACTCACCTTTTGGTGGGATCTACAAACTGGAACCACTTACCTCAGCGCCTCGTCATCTAATTGAGTCAACATCTGAGTTTCCGTCTTGTCACTCTCTTACAAACCAATATTCACCTCATCTGCTACTGCTCCACAACCTATTAGAATTCAACTCCTTCCTCTCCTCACCTACAACCAAGACAAACAAGTAAGGATACAGTGATCCCTCACCTATCGCAGGGGTTACGTTCCAGAGACCCCCAGGACAGGTGAAAATCTGCAAAGTAGTGGGATTATATTTATTATTTATATATATTTTAAAAACCCTTCCCACACTCCAACAAACCTTTCCCACTCTTAGGTTACCCTTCATGTGCAGCACAGCACTGAAAATTTTAGTCCACTCCCACCTGCTCAGTGGGCTCCACCCCGGTCTGTATAAATTGCACTGAGACCAGGGAAAGACTCCCAAAAAGCGTTTTGTTTTTTTAGCTTTTAGGAGCTAGTGAGACCCAGATCTTAAAGGGCTGTGCCTGTACAGTAGTCCCGTGCTACTTTGTGGTTCATTTATTGCAAACTCGCTCTATCGGATTTCTTCAAAATAAGATTGGACATGACACACAATTGGCTGATTGATGGATGAGCCGCACGATCGGCATGGAATTTTTATTTAAAATAAATTACTTTAAATTATTTAGCACCTACTGCACCTTTGTGCTGCGCATACTGCAGGATAAACTTCCTGCTGCAGCTGATCAGCTGTTCACTGTGCAGAGCAGTGAAGTGGGTGTGGCCAAGAGTGCTTGCAGGTGGCAAAAAGCAGAGGAGGCAGGGAGCTGAAATCATGAGATGCTGTGCTCTTTGAGTGTTTATAGTTTAGTAACATTGTTTAGAATATTTCAAGAGTTTGGGAAGGGTTTAAATTGCCTTTATATATATATATATATAAAAAAAAAAAAAAAAAAAAAAAAAATAAATATAAATATATATATATATATATATATATAAATATATATATAAAATACTACTTAATACTTGTACTACTGATTTAACATGATTTAACCATTTTTGCTGTTACTTGTACTATTATTCCTACGTCAACATTTTTCAGTCAGGTCATCTGGACAGTTGCTTTTTTTTTGTGCTGAAACGTTTCGCCTTCGGTCCAGAAGGCTTCATGAGTCAAGGAAACACACAACAAAACTGATTCTTCCCCCAACAGCTTACTCCAAAGTGGAACAAACCAGTTCTGCTTGTGATAATATGGTCTCTTTGGTACGCCCCCTCCTCCATTGCCAGCCCTCTTCCTTGTTGACAGTCAGTTTGACAAGACTAAACCTTTGAATCAGGTACCAAAGCAGTGACGTCTCTTAGGCACTTTCGAAGCGTCGGACATGATGGCTTTTGCCAAACAAATCAAGCTCTGACACAGAGCTTCAGAAACACTTTTTTAAATACATGCACCAGAGCTTCAGCTTCAGACGGTCCATCACTAGTCGTCACTCTCGCTGTCAAGTTTGTCTACTCTGGGTGAAAACAGCGTAAATCATCATTTTATCTGCTGTATTACATGTCACAGTGTAGAAACATTTGATTAACCCCGAAAGGATATTGAGTAGTGGCAATAAAGTTTCATAAAATTTTTTATAAGCTTTAAACAGTTAAGATGGGCATAACTGGGACAGACAATCAGTCGCCTTTTATCTGATTCATTCAAAAATAAACTACAGTTAATGTAAAGATAAAATGATTTCTATGTGCTTTAAATTTTGTTATTTAACTCAGATTAGCTCCAACAGAGATGAGAAGGTAGTTTAAAGTATAGTAGAATTTAATTTAAAAAAAGTTGACATTTTGGATCACACAGCATGTTCTGTAAATTTTGAAGATCAACTTTAAATAAAAGAATCTACTACAGTTTTTCTACGTAAGAGGGGCCAAGATGGTGTAGAGGTAGGGCAGCCAACTTGGGACCAGAAAGTTGCGGTTTGACTCCCCGCCAAGTCCACAAGTTGTGGTGTCACAGAGCAAGACACCTAATCCCTAATTGTTCCTTGGGCGCCTACATAGCTGCCCACTGCTCCACCTGGGTGTATCTCAGGTGTGATGGGTTAAATGCAGGGAACTAATTTCGTCATGGTATGGGAACATACAATGATGACAATACATAGCACTTACTTAACAGCAAAGGAAAAAGAACTATTATCCCTACAAGAATATAGAAAATAAATTTTAGTCTTCAATGTGTTTAATTTATTCTTACCTCATTTTACTCTCCTTGTTGGTTTTTCTCCTCTTTAATATGGGTTATCTTTTTTAATCTTTCTGCAAACACAAATCTCTAAAGATTTTATGGTGATTATGTAACATACCCAGTGCAGTGAGATCATGTTCGAGTCCACTGCCCATGCTCTCCACACTGATTCTTTGTAAAGCCTGGAGCAGGGCTGGTCTAAGGCTTGCACACAAATCAGTTGTATATTCTCTGCTTCCATGCAAAAGAGTTTCAATTACACTCAGAACTCGCTCTGCGAGGGGAGTCTCTCTGGTTATCATCATGTCCTGTAGTAAGAAAGAGTAGACAGTCTTGGTATAAACATCATGTTAATACAGTCAATCAGTTAGAAAGATGAAAGACAATACAGTAGTCCCTCGCTTCTTCGCGGTTTGACATTCGCGGATACGTTATATTGCGGTTTGTCAACGCACATTGACATAGTTAAAAATAAATACATAAATTGTACAGGAATCATGATTGGCAATTTTAATATTACTCATGTGATTGAGACAGTACTGGATACAGTACTGTACAGTAAATAGTTAACAAAAAATAAAAATACTTTGGACAGGCAATGCCATTTTGTAGTTTTTTTTTTTCAACAAGCCTATACTGTATCCCCACTCATAACAACCACATTTCCCAGAAGCCCACAGGGCCCCACCCAGAAGCCCCAATTCCTTCTGCTGAAAAACTAGAGGGAAAGTTTTGATCTGATCAGAAAAATTTGGCGCATATTAGTGACTTCGGCACCCAGCGGATGCAGAGAGCCGCACGGAACCCACCAAACCGGACCAGAAACAGCGCAGAACCAGACCTCCAGACCCATTGGTGAATCAGAGTTGGTAGCCTGCCCACAAGGACTTCTGAGAGGAGACGTGCACCGCCGAAGGTCTGGCGCTCCATCCGGAGCTCACCGGGAGTTTGGCGGCACGCGTCCTGCTCAGAAGTCCTCGTGGGCTGTACCAGACATCCAGAACCATTGGTGAATTTTGAGAGCTCCTAGCTGGCCCAAGAGGACTTCCAAGCGGGGATGTGCACCGCTGAAGGTCTGGCGCTCTATTTGGAGCTCACCGGGACTTTGTTCCATCTCTTTCAACCGGCCGACGTGGCCCTCCGAGCAGGCCATACTGGTAAGTAAAATTTAGTAGCTACATATACAGTACTGTACTTATGTTGTTAAAATGACGTAGGTTTAAGAGTTTAGAACATTGCAAGAGTGACAAGATTGTGTTTTAGGATTCGTGCACGACACTGAACACCAGGAATGGTTAAAATGATTTATTGATAAATCGTTGCTGGTGGGGGTTTGATCCCGGGCACGGGTCCGATCTTCACAGTTGAGTTAGAGAGGTATCCTTTAGATGGTTCAGCAGGATGACGTCATGGGCTGTGAGCAAGCAGCAGCAGAGAGCGAACAAGCAGAGTCCAGTTTTAGGGGTAATCCAAGGGCGAGGTCCAGTGAAGCAGGCTTGGGTCAAGAACCATTGGGCAGAGATCGAGAGAAGAAAGAGGGCAGAGAGAGCGAAGTCATGATAATCACAAGCAGAGTCGTTATTGTGGTCAGAAGGCAGAGTCCAGAACAGGCAGGGATTAGGAAAGGCGAGGAAACCAGAAGACAGATGTGGGATCAAACCAGGAGACAGCCAAAGCTATGGCATAGACGCTGGATAAACACAAGGTCTTCGATAATCTGGCACTGAACGACTGAGAACATGGGGCTTAAGTAGTGAGCTGAACAGGTGCATGGAATCAGAGCTGATTGTTGTGGAGGAATGGAGCAGGCATGGTGAAGAGTGGCTGCAGCAGAGCATGAAGTAGGATAAACAAAAACATGAAGGCATAGATGAAAGCAGGGACAAACAGGGATTTATGGCACGAAGGAGCAGAAACTAAAAGGTGGGGCAGAAATGTGACAAAGAGTGTGGGAAGGGTTTCTAAAGCCTTAAAATATATATAATTACTAAAATAAATAAATGTCACTACTTCGCGGATTTTCACTTATCGCGGGTGGGTTTGGAATATAACACCTGCAATAAACAAGGACTACTGTTTAGCTATTTTTCATTATAAGGTATTGTTTTAAGGGTCAAGAATCAACAGTTCAGATCTTCTGAGGTGGGGTTCTGCGGAAATGTAATGAGACATTAATTTAAATGAACAGTTTAACTCTGATCGGATTAACAAGCTAATGGCTAGTAGGATCAAGATCTAAGTGCTGCTGTCTTAAAACATCTAATCTCAAACGTTTCAAAGCAGTTTGTGCAAACACTATTTAATAAACAATTGCAATGCAGCTAATTTTATATTACACAGTTATTCTGACAGAAATAATTTGACATAATTGCAGGATGTGTCCCAAGATGCAAAGGAAGTTCTACGGCTAGCTGCTGCCATTTGTTATTGCAGATAACCACAAAATTCAGCGCAAAAAATATGCAATGTGAAACTGACAACCGTGTAGTTACAAAATAACTTTCGATTAAACAACTTTTAGATTTTTGAGCCTGACATTGTACAAAGAATGTAGCAATCAACTTTGGTGCTAGCTCTGCTCTGACTAGCCATTAACCCATTGATCCAATCAGAATTTAACTCTTTTTCTCCTAAATGAGGCTGTTCAAAGAGCTATACAGCACAGATAAGGTAAGATCTTAATTAAAAACCCTACTTGAAATGATCTGAGCTTTCATGTAAAGGTCTTACCATGAGGGTCAGTATGACATCTGGGTACTTTTCAAGAACAGCCAGAAGCTCTATGGTTTCTGTGTCTGGTTCCTGATTGTGCGTCTCTGCTTGACTTTCTCCCTTTTCAGCAATCTCCTGCAAATCTGCCTGCAACAAAAATAAATAAATAAAAAATATAAGCAACCTTTTCATCAGTTTGGATTATATAAATGAATAAAAAAAAATCAACCAGTTGCCATGTTCTAGACCATTTCAAACTTGCTGTTGTTAAAAAAAAAAAGGAAGAGTTTTGACAAATGTTTAAGATACAGGTTAGAAAAAAGTTCTTGCTTTGTTTGCTCTTACCGTGGTCTGCTCTGTATTCCTCTGGGATTTCTTGGTCAACCAAAGCTCCAGGACCAGGGGACCAAATCTTTGTGCTAATTCCCGATATCGACAGATGAAGTGGAGAAGTGCAGGATGGTGAGTATAGATGGAAGAAAAACTTTGGCAAGAGGAGAGTGCTTTGCTGATACAACTCAAAGGAGCCTTAAGAAAATGACAGTAAGGAAAGACTGATGAAGCTGAAGCGCTCTCATTGAGATGTGTAAAACCCAGATAAAACGTTTGCAGAACTGATTAGATGCAAGACTCAGATGGCAAGTTTTCCTCAATTCAATTCACTTTATTTATATAGAGCCAAATCACAACAGAAGTCATCTCAGGGCACTGAACAGAAACATTCATATATAAAAATAATAAGATAAAACTATTTATCAGAGAAGCAGACTGTTTTGAGTTTAACTTCATCACAGACTGAAACTCTCATCTTGAGCAAGCATGAAGGCGACAGTGGAAAGACAAAACTCCCTCATGAGGAAGAAACTTTCAGCAGAACCAGGCTCAGGACAAGCATCCATCTGCTTCAACCAACTGGGTTTAATAGGAACAGATACACAATGGCAGGTCAAGAATCATGTTAAGATAGAAATAGTATCAAATGAAAACATTTCAATTTTAGCAATTCATTTAAGGAAATGAGGTCAATATGTCCTTTAGTAGTTTAAGTTTAAGGCAGCATAACAAGCCAACCCTAATTATAGGATTTATCAAAAAGGAAAGTCTTAAGTCCAGTCTTCAAACTGGACAATGTGTCAGCCTCACGGACAGAAACTGGAAGTTGGTTCCACAAGAGAGGAGCCTGATAACTGAAAGATCTTCCTCCCATTTTACTTTTGGAAACTCTAGGAACTGCAAGTAAGCCTGCAGTCTGAGAGAGAGAAGTGCTCTGTTGGAAAAAAATATGGAACAATAAGATCTGTAATATAAGATGGAGCTAGGTTGTTGAGAGCTTTGTAGGTTAAAAGTAAGATTTTGAATTCAATTCTGGACTTGGCAGGGAGCCAATGGAGAGAAGTTAAAACTAGAGAAATATGATCTCTCCCACTAACTCCAGTTAAGACTCTGGCTTATTTAGCAGAAAGCTCATATTAAGCACTTTCAGAGAAGCTGTTTTTGAGGTGAAGCAGCACATATTGAGATGTTCTTTGTTCTGCTTAGCTTTAGACATAGAAAAGGATTTAACTAGATTAATATTCTTAGCTCTAGTATAATCTAAAGAACTACACAGCCTTTGCGTCTGAAAATGGATAACAGCTGTTGAGCTGTGATTCTGAGTATTTCACGCCTTTCACTTTAAGTGGTTTTTGTATTAAATCACACACAGCAATTTAGCTCCTGATCTTGCTGTTTTTTCTCTACTAACATAAAAAAACCATCAGGCACTTTCATCTTGATAAAATCTGAAAACATTAAAACCACATTGGTTGCCTTTGAATGAGTTGATATTAAAGTCACGTAATTAGGGCTGAGTCACTGAACAAAAATAAAATGAAAGTGGATTAAATAAAACAGACAATTTAACTAAGATAGGGAGAAAAACATTTAACATGAAAGATTGCTTAATTAGGTTAACATTCTGAAATGCAGATTATCTAAAAGAGTTTGAGGTTATTTTGAAGGTAGTATTTAATAAAAAAATTCACTTTTTAATTTTTGACTCAATAGCATATTTTTGAGTTTGTTTCATTTAAATGTCTTCTGCAGGTGTCGCCACACTGAACAAACTTGAATGAAAATTTAGCATTTGTTTTACACCAGATGCCCTTCATGATACAAACTGGGCTAACACCTGCAGCCTTAGGATTACAAGACCACGGCACTGACCATCATGCAAAAATAGCTTGGAGCTGAAATGTGATGAAGACATTACAGCAAACAAATTTTTAATCTTTCCAATCTGTCCAGCAGTTATACTACCAGTTTGGTTCTGCAGTAATTTAAGCATAAAACTTGAAATTATGCCAACAGAGGGATCAAAATCAACAGTACATAGCTGAAACATATCTGTATTTGAAAGGAAAAATCTGTGTTTTAACTAGCATGTTAGTCTTTCTGTGGTTTGATGGTATTGAGAACTGTCAAACTGTTTGTTCAAACATTGAAGTGTTTTGTTTTTGCAATAGGCTACGATACACCCCACAGAAGTTAGATCTTTTAAAATCAGATGCAAAGATGTTTAAAAAGCAGGCTTTATAACAATGTGTTGGTACTATAGTAAGTAGTGGCATTTTGCAACTGTCTCAGCTCTCACCAGTACTACACCGCACTGGCTTAAGTTTCTTTCAGCTGCTCCCTTCTTCAGGGGTAATCACAGCGAGCGGACTCAAAGGAAAAATTTGGCAATTGTTTTACACTGGATGCCGTTCCTGACGCAACCAGGGCTCAAACCCACAACCTAAGGCAGAACTATTCACCTAAACTGCTCAGGGGCCACAGTTACTGAAAACCAGAGTTTCAGGGGCCGGACATGCAGCAATTAAAGTCATTATGTAAATAAACCAAGTATTACAATGATCTGTTACCTTTTAAATGTGTTTATTTTGTTGCATTGAATCATAAATGCAATAAACAGAACCCAAACCTACCCCCCCCCCCCCCCCACACACACACACACACACAAATAAATAAATAAAAAAATGGTTGGTGGACCGGACTGAAGTCGTGCGAGCCAGAAGTAGCTGCGGGCCACCAGTTAAATAGCCCTGATCTAAGGGTTTCAAAACTGTGGCACTAACCACTGAGCTTCCGCAGCCACGTTTTAATATAATTGTTTTGTATTTAGACTAAAGCTTGACATACTGTAGATATTTCATTAAGACCTTAGGAAACTATGTTAATTTGTGATAAATGTTTTTTGTTTTAAGCAAAAGCAATAAATAATCATGAAAAGGTTTTCCTAAAAATCCCGAACCAAAGCTAAAGTGAAACAATGCTGATGCAATACTTTAGTGTGTTGCAGTGTGTTCTGTTTGTTGATGTGATACCCTGTCAAGACTGGGGCTCTTGTCCTGAGTCACGGCCAACAAATAGAGGGAAGAGCGGAGGACAAAGAGAGGCAGCACTGAGTCGCTCTGCTCCTGCACTGACTGCAACATCACCACCACACTGGAGAACACGGCCTGGTCTGGCAGCAGCCTGAATTACATACACACACAATATATAATCAATCTTACATATGTACATTCACATCTGAACCAATGAAAACACACAAACAGCTGTGCAATGGTGTAATGAGAAAAAGTAAGTCCTACTATGAATGTTAATGTTAAAAAAACTAGACCAAAGTTGACTTTTTAGTTCAGCAGATAACAACGTTCTTTGTTTCACAATGGGACACGAGGTAAAGGTGCAGGACTTATAGGTTTCACTAATATTTATCAAAGAATGTTCTCTGTTCATTTAGGGATGCATTCTTCTGTGACCCTTTTAAACTGTGGGGTACCTCAAGGCTCCATTTTAAGACACATTCATTTACCTTGAAGTTAATTTTCAAAATCACAACATGGCTATCAGAAATATTTTCCTGTTAAAAAGTCATACTACTATTCAAACCTTGCTAATTTGCATTTGATATACAAACATAGATGGAAATAAACTTCTCTAAACAAAACACAAACAAAATTAAAAACTTGTTAGAATAATCTAATCTTAACAAATACGTTAATACTACTCTTATGGTCACTCATTTATAGGAACATTTCCAAAACTAGGATTTTAATTTCAAGAAACAGAGTAACACAGCCACAGTGATTCTAAAAAGTATTCATTCCTTTGGATGTTTTATACTTTTATTGTTGTCATTAATTAATCACGGTCAATATTAGTTGGTCATTTAGACAAAAAAGGACTTCTTCAGTGTCAAAGCGAAATAAAAGTTGTTCCAAATAAATAAAACGTGTTATGTAAAAAAGGTGACTGCATAAGTATTCACCTCAATGAAGTGACTTCTAATTCAGCTCAGAGAAAAAAAATTACTGAAAAGTCCAAGTCAGAGGATGAACAAAACTGTGAATAAATAAATAGAAGGAATATGGGATGAGTAAATCTAACAAGGGCAGGCTGTCTTCACAAACTGAGTGACGGTACAAGAGAGAAGTGAGAGAAGCCACAAGACACCTATGAGAACTCTGAAGGAGTGAGGTGAGACTGAGACTTCAGCAGGTGAGACGGGTGAGAATGAGCATACAACTGTTGCCTTGGTTCTCTTTCATAGCATTCGTTTCGTGTCTCACATCCAGGGCTTAATTTGAGCCAGATCCTGCCGGAACAGAATCAGGGAACTCTCTTATTTTGACAGGGTGTGTTCCGGTAACTGTTTGCTTGGATCCGGTAACGTTCAGGCTTACCAATAATAAAGTTATGGACAAATGACTGCCTTGAACAAATAAAACTTATATTGGATATGTAAACCGAAAATAATTACATAAACACCAATTTTAAGCACATCATACGATCTGCCTCTTCAAGTGAAGTATTTTCGCATCTACCCTTAAAGAAATCTCCACCCCTACAGGAGTGGTGGGGCTAAGTGCCGAGCAGGAGCCCACAGGCAGCTGCAGGGCAGGCACCTGGAGGTTTCACATGTGGAGTCGGACAACTACGAGCAGGGACAGTGTTGGGCTTGGTTCCAAGCCCGACTTACTTGACAGTTCCGTCAAGTAAGGGGGAGTGGGGGGAGGATGCTTGACAGAAGCAGAGTGTTTACAAATGTAGGTAAACGTAAATGTTTAACAACCATTTAAAATACCCAAAATGCAGATAATCGCATCTACTTTATTAAAAATTTTCAGGAGGAGGAGGACCCCCCCGCCCACGTGCCGCCTGCTATTTGCGTTCCAGCATCGATCGGTTTACAAATTAAGGCCTGCTGACATCATTCATGCTTCTCAGACAATCGGAGTTACGACAGTAATGTAAAGTTCTTCACAAGTCTAAGTTTTATGAGAGAGAGGCAAAAAGAAAGCTACTGTTGAAGAAAACATTAAATCTTCACCGCAGTCTCCAATTTTTTTTAGACAAAATGTTGTCAATTTTTATTTTAAGTGTTCTTCAATTAGGACTTTCAGTGAATCCTTGTTTAAGAAAAAAAAGCCACTTTTTTTTTAATCAACAGTGGCTTCCCATTCATTTCAATTATAGGTTTAAAATTGTTCTGCTTGTTTTAAGTCTTAATGCTAAAACAAAACTTTCACGTTTGAATTTCTGCCCCTTTACACTCCAACCAGAATTCTGAGGTCCAAAAAAAAAGTGTTTTGAGACCCTCCCAGATCCAGGCTCAAAACCAGGGGTAACAGAGCCTTTTTGATGGTGGTCCCCAATCTGTGGAAGAGCCTGCCTCTGAAAGTCAGAGCTGCTCAGACCATCCATCATTCTAAATCACTGCTAAACTGATTCCCTCACGCTGGCTCTTACGTATAGTTGAGCAGAATAATTTCACTTTTATTGAGCAAGACAAATTGATTGATTTGTTTGTAACTCTTTTTATTGTGTTTAGGCTTTATTAAGGTTCTTATTTATTGTTGATGAATTATTTATTTTACACCTTGAAAAGCACTTTAGCTGTCTTGAAATGTGCTGCGAAATACTGCAGATGTTGGCGTGCCTTGTTAAGACAAAGGTAATCATTCACAGGTCCAAATCACTTGTACACACCCGAAACCCTTCAACAAAATGTAAATCCTGATGAGGATGAGGCTTTCTCGCCTTCCTCTGGTAGTTACGCTGAGGCAGGGATCAGCAAAGGAACAGATTTTCTAGGAGGCCAGCAAACAATTTTTGAAGGGAAAAAAGGTATTTAAAAACAAAAAAAACCCACCGTAATCAGCTAAATCGTGCCTGGTATTTTAAGTTGCACCGTATCAGCTGAACTTGGCTGAATTGCTTGCATTATGTTGTGTCTTTTTGTCTTGTATTTTTATGTCATTTCAACCATTGTAATAAACCAAATTTACCCCTAAAGGACAATAAAAATCTGAATAGAACTTTCCGCGGAACAAAGTTTAATAAGATAATCTTAAATGGTTGCAACTCTGTATCCCAAAGTATTGTAAATATGGATGCTAATTTTTGAACATATTTATATGAACTTTCAAAAATTGATTAATGTTATATTTGTGAGAGAAGTTAATTATATATTAATTAAGACATTTCATACAACTTCTGTGAATGTGTAGAAAGGTGACTTGTCATGAAGTATATTTACCTGCACTTCCATTAATTAGTTGGCAGCAAAATTAAAGCTTTTTAAAACTAATATCGTTCAGACAGACAAAACTAAAAAATGAGTTGTGCTGCTGCTCATTTTAATACTACTGCTACTGTTATTAAGACTGTTGCTGTATTTGTAATGGCTTGTTTGCACCTTGCATATTGCTCAGGACATCCTTGTAAAAGAGATTAATAATCTCAACGGATTTCTTTCCTGGCAAAATAAAGGTTTAAATAAAAACAATATATACAAGTACAAGCACTAAGCAGAACAAGTTTGGGGACGTTGTACTTTTTTCCCTATTGATCTTCTTAACAAACTTAATACAGTGCAACCAAGAGGAAACACATCAGCTACCAATCAAGTAAATGACTTTCCTGATCAAAGACTTATTTTGTTAAAGTGCTAACAAAAACAGCTTTAGGAGAGCAGTCAGTGCTCCTGGATCAAATAACTCTTGATTTATTTTACTAAACTAGCCCGTAAAAGTGAATGTTTAACATTGTGATGAAATACATACTAGACCATAACATTTCAATAAAATGACCAACTTTTGGCACTTGGTACATGTTAAAATTGTTGAAGTTTCTAGTTTTCATAAGTAAGAACTTCCATCCCAAAAAAAAAAAAAAAAAAAACACACCACCAAAGTGTTTACTCATGTCTAAAACGTGGATGGAGCAGACATCAGTGAAATTGTTTCTGTGTGCTGTATTACCTGTCTCCATGCTTTAGAGCCAGGTAAAGGAAGAGCACCAGGCAGTACTTGGTGTCTCTTGGTTCTTGATATTCACACAACAGAGAGGGCCAGTCTGACAGATGACAACACAGAGAGGAAAGGCTGGACTGCAGAAGATTTTTCACCTCCTCAAAATCTGGGAATGAGCAAGCAAACAAAGCAAAAAGGTCTGAATAATCACAAATATAAAAATATGAATTAATATAATAAACCAAGAGGCCTTCAGGCCTTTTTGAAGACAGCTATCATTTACCCACTTTGTGTATATAATAAAACCAAAGATAAGAATGTACAATTAGCTTGTTCTGATTCCTCACTTCTATAACTAGAAATGAGTATTTCTTGAAAAATCACAACGTTTTTTTAAAAATATCTCATTTATACTCAAGAGTGAGTGATGAGGATAAATCTGAACTACCAGCTCAATACATTTTACCTTAATATCTGTAAAATTATAGCCATTTTTGTATTTTCTACGGCTCATTAGCAGTAGCAGCCATCATAAATTGGGGTGACTCTCAAAAAAGTTAATCAGTTGCATGTGCACATGCAATGACCGCCTTCGCTTAGGTTTATTAAAATACAGCCAGTGGTCAATTAGATGTTTTGATGAAAGACAAGTGCACACACACAAACAAAGCAATGACATGATTGCCCATCTTTCAAGGTGTTGGCTAAAAATAACCTGTGTTGTAAAAAATATTAGATTACTATTTGTCAGTGACAGGACAATAGTGACATTGTTGCTTAAAATCAATCTGTCAGATACAGAAATCATAACAACAGCTTTATGAATTGTTGATGAATTAATTATATCCACTCATAACAAGAAGTTAATTTAGATTTTTAAAAGTATAATGATTGTACAGTTATCAGAAAACAAAAGACCAATAAAATGTTGTTTTTTCCCCATCTGAAAACTGATTTTCATTTCACTCCCTCAGCTTTTCACAGTGACAAGTTTCAACAAAGATGTCAATCTTTTTTTTTTTCAACAAATGACATACAGGTATATGTAAAGAAATAACAAGATAGATGATGCAGAATATAAAGAAGAGAATGACAAAGAAGCCATAGGAGATTTGGGACAATATTCACTAGCCAATACCAACATGAGGTATGAAGCCTCAAGTAAGTCTGTGAGAACTAAGACAAAGTAAAGTAAAAATGAGAAGAAATGTAATACAAAAATACAAATGAAAATTGAAGAAAATGGAACCAAGACAAAAGTAAGGTGCATTAAGCTAAAAACCCAGAGCAAATTAAAATGGACAATCCATCCATCCATCCATTATCTTTTACCCGCTTCTTCCATTTTGGGTCATGGAGGTCGCTGGTGACCATATCCAGCAATCACTGTGCGAGGGGCGGGGTACACCCTGGACAGGTCTCCAGTCCATCGCAGGGACACAGAGACAAACTAGACAAACAACCATTCACTCTCTCACCCACACCTAGGGACAATTTAGAGTTACCAGTCAGACTAACATGCATGTTTTTGGTCTGTGGGAGAAAACCGGAGTACCCGGAGAAAACCCAAGCACGAACGGAGAAAACATACAAACTCCACCCAGAAAGGCCCTCGAACCAGGATTTGAACCAGGGACCTGCTCGCTGAGAGGCAGCAGCTCTACCAGTTGCGCCTTCGTGCTGCCCTAAAATGGATAATGTGACTAAAAAAGAAGAAATAACTTGGGTAATTCAGAGTCTGATATAAAATAATAATAAAAAAAACGACTAATTACTACTCCTATATAGTATTGGTTATTGGAGCAGCAAAATATACACAGAAAAAAATATTTTAAAACAGATATGAAGAAGAAAAGTTTTGTGCAGAGTTGTCAAAGAAGACTGAGTGAGGAATTGTCACGGTTTGTGGAGGTGGAATGTAGGAATGCAGAATAACACCAGGAGCTCAAAAGAAGAACAAAAACTGTGAAACCAAACACAAAGGGCTCTCATGGCAGCAACTACGAACAAAATAACTTGAGGAGAACACGGAGGAGAACGGACCATGGTGTAAACACACAACAACACACAACACAGCTTGAATGAGGAGTGAGGTGAAGCTGAGGGACTATAAGGACCGGAGCTGATGAGAAGAGAGGCTGCAGCTGCGACTGAATAAACAGAACAGGTGCAACTGGGCAAGGCAGACTGACTGTGGAAAAGCACAGAGGAGAACACAGGTAGGACAGAACAAACCAAACACAATGAAAACACAAAAATACAAGAAAATAAACAGACGAGAGGAATGCAGCAAAGACCAAAAATGTATTTAAAAAAAGAGGAAAACATAAGGGACGAGAAAAAAGCAGTAAACTGTGGCTTTTTGCTTCCCGCCTAAGATTTCAATATTAAAAAACAAATAGAAAATAAAAAAGAAGCATTTTCTTAAATATTCTAACAGCTAAATGATAATAAACAAGAACTTGCAGATTCAATAAATCAGTCATATAAAAATATTAAAGAACAAAACATCTGCATAATCAAGAACAGACCATAAGGGCTAAAATATATACTGTAGTCTTAAATAAGAGCTGCTAAGCAAACATACACCAAAAATATGATGGCAATATCCAAAACAAAAAGCATGAAGAAAACAAGTAGGAAATGAAACAGTGACAAAAAAGAAGAAAATTGCAACGAAAAAAGTGAGCAAACAGAAGACTAGATCTGCCAAATGTATTATTAACACTACAATAAAAACACA